CACATCCATCTCCACAGGCAGTTTGTGCTGGAGGAGCCTTGGAAACCTTAAACTCCTTGCAAATGAGGTTTAGGCATGTGTTAGCTTTGGGGTTTGGGTGTGATCAGCACTGCTGAGGGTGAGGGGCCTGGGAGGGTCTGTCAGGTACTCCCTGCAGGCAGCCTGGCCATGGCTGCTGCCATTCCTCTGGCACTCAGAATTCACAGAATCCCAGACTGGCTTGGGTTGGAAAGGACCTTAAAGCTCATATTCCACCCCCTGCTATGGCCCATGCTGGCAGTGCCTTGGGGATTGCTGAGCACACCTGAGCCTGCTCTGCCCCAGTGGCTCAGAGAGGGAAGGAATCTGTTCCTCCTGGCTCCTGCTCCTCTGATGCTGGAGAAACAGACAGAATCCTACAGACACCGAGGTTGGAAAAGATCTCCAAAACCATCAAGACCAACCTGTCACTCATAACCACCTTGTCAACCAGACCACAACACCATCCAGTCTCAGCTTGAAAACCTCCAGGGATGGTGAATCCACCACCTCCCTGAGCAGCACATCCCAATGCCTGAGAGCCCTTTCCATGAATTAATGTTCCCCAATATCCAACCTCAATCCCTGGCACAGCTTGAGGCTGTTTCCTCTCATCCTGTCCCTTGTTCCATGGGAGCAGAGCCTGATCCCTCCTTGCTGCACCTCCTGGCAGGAGTTGTGGAGAGCACAACGTCCTCCTGAGCCTCTTTTTCTCCAGGCTGAGCTCCCTCAGCTGCTGCTGCTGCTCCTTCCCCAGCTCCACCTCCTCCTCCGGACACCTGGAGGCAGAGTGTGCTCAGGACTGGGTGCAGAGGTGCCCTGAGCAGCTCCTGGCACAGCTCAGCTGAACAACCAGCAGGTACCAGGCTCGTGGGGAGGTGCTGCTCTCCCAGCTGCTGCCCCAGCGCATTGACACGCTGTTTGCTTTTTTTCCTCCTTTTTTTTTTCCTCCTAATGACTAATGAGCGCTGCCTGGGGGGCTGATGCCCCTGGCCCAGGGATGTCAGGTGGTCCCTGCGCCAAGCACACGCAGCTGTCAGCTCCTTTGGAGGGGAGGGCACGTCCCTCGCCCTGCCCCGTGGCTGGGGTGGCAGATGTAAGGCAGGGGAACAGGCTGGTGGGTGGGCAGAGCCGCCGCAGGTTATTTGCACATCAAAAGCAGCTTTGCCTCCGACCCCTCGAGCACGAGGGGGACTCGGTTTAATTGCTCTTGTCGCTGCTGGGAGGTTGGAGTCTGACTCTGCCCCCCACAGCCAGACACGGGGCGGTGGCACCAGGGTGTTTAAAGAAGATGCAAATCAGCTTTTCTCTGTCTTGGAGCTGATTTGCATCTGCTGATTAGTTTCAACAATTCAAACTCCTCCTGTGTGAGGGCGGTTGGTGCTCGGGCAGCTGGGGCAGAGCTGACCCAGGCACAGGCAAAGCAGAGACCACAGTGGCTGTGGGGGAAATGGGATGGTTCTCCTGTTTGCCCCCACACCTGAACCAACTGTGCCCCTCAGGTGTTGGGGGGTAAGAGCTTCATGATGGGTTTGGTGGCAAAAGGCTGCGACCCTCATCTGCTTTAATGGGAGAAACAGAACCCTCAGGGTTGGGGGTTTGGGTCTCCAGGGCATTCCCAAGGATTCCTTGGGGTGTATGAGCCCCCAGGGATGCTGCACTTCCTCCTGGACCTGCTCTCACTCCTCCTGATGCTGCTCAGCTCCAACGAGTCTCTGTGTTGCTTCGCTGCAGCATCTCCAATTCGGTTGTGACCTCTGTGGGATGGAGATGTCCCCTGGGAGTTATCCCGAGGATAACTGGCAGCTCAGGATGCTCCTCCTCGCTGCTCCCTTGACCTGGATACCCGGTCCAGCCTGGGGAGGGTCAGGTTAGCCAGCCAGGACAGGGCTGGTCGGAGAGGATGTGTAACAGAAGGTGCCGCTCAAGAGACAGATCCCTCGCACGTGGTTTTTCCATCTCCTTCCTCCTCGGCAGTTCTCAAAGGCTCTAAAAATAACCTTTGCTCGTGCCTTAGGCAGCGTGAGCACAGCCAAACTTTCCCTGGAAAGCGTCGCCAGGTGCCAGGTGCCCTTTGGGGGGGCACAGAGCAGTCGGTGCCTGGCTCAGCCCCCCACCCTGCCCTGAGATGGGCTGAGTACCCCACGGGAACAGCCAGATGAGTCAGGATGAAGTGTTTTCCTTAACGGGAGTGTTTTCCCTATTTTCTGTTCCTAACCTTCCCCCTTTACCTCCCCCCATGCTGTTTGGATCGGTGCAGTACAAATAGGCTTTGAGTTGGGTTGGTTTGGGGGAAAACAGCTTAAACAGTCAAAATATGACCTCGGGTTTGTTAAGGTGCTTACACTTCACCTCTCCCTCTGGAATTTCAGTCTGGATCTCCCCAGGAGATGGACCTGCCTGTTCCAGGGATGATGAGTCTGGGACCATCAGGGGTTAGGGGAAAGATCAGTCTCACCTGCAGAGCAGGAGGGTGAAGCTGGTGGGCTTAGGCTAGAAGCAGGTCCAGGGGGATTATCCCTCCCCCTCCAATCTCTCCCTGTCTGCCAGAGACAAGAGGTTGCTTTTCCATGCATGGCTTATCCCAGCTGCAGAGCGGAGATAACTCTGGGAGCAGAGCTGGGAACAACAGGGCCAGGTGGGAGGATGTCCCCAGAGGGACCTTGGTGGGCAGAGATAAATAGCTTGTGACTTGGGGATGTACTGAGCCCTGGAGAGGAGCACAGCAAAGCACCATCCTGCTCTCCAGTATGGAAAACCCTGGGAACACATCCCAGCCAGGCAGCAGAGGAGAGGCTAAGGAAGTTTTACAAAATTTATTTATAAATAAAAACATAAAATTACCAGTAGTTTACATCAGTCACCAGAAAGAACATCCAAAAAAAAACAACAAAAAAACCAAAAACCTGCAGAAAAATAATTCTCTGTACAGGCTGAGGCCGGTGGGCACGGGGCAGGAGAGCTCAGAGCTCCCACCCAGACACACCTGGAATGCAGACAGGTCACACACAGCATTGTGCAAAGGCAGCACGGAGAGGCCTCTGGCAGCACATCACGGAGCAGGGGCTGGGGGGACACTGGGCTGGGGGACAGGGACAGTGCCACGGAGGCCAGTGGGACTGGGAACAGAGGGAGGAGGGCACGGCCGGGATGGGGCAGCCAGGGAGGGATGTGCTCCCCTTGGCACCCTCTGGGGTGGGCACTGCAAGGCTCCTGGTTGCTGTGCTCTGGTTGGGCTCGGGAGAGGGTGCAGAGCCCTTGGTATGGGGCTATGGCTTGGCTGATACACAAAATCCCTTCTTGACTTGCACGCTGGAGCGGAGCTGGGTGTCATCCCTGGTCCTTTGAGAGGAGCTGGGTGTCATCCCTGATCCTTCCTGTGGAGCTGGATGGTATCTGTGATCCTTCTAACGCAGCTGGATGGCATCTATGATCCTTTGAGAGGAGCTGAGTGTCATCCCTGATCCTTCCTGTGGAG